TTGAGAACAAGACTATTGTTTTGAGCGAAGTCTGAACAACTCTGCTTAATAAGAATGAGCTCTCGAATTTATTAGTGGCTACCCCACTCTTAGAGCTCAAGTCACCGTTTCCGTTTCCGTTCCGTCCTCCGGTGAGGCTACCTTGGACCAAAACAACATTTATCGGTGGTACAAAATATTCTCAGAGGGCCGAGAAGAAGTGAACGACGAACAACGTGCCGGACGCCCGAGTACGTCAACAACATGAAAACATTGATCAAGTGAAGAAAATAGTATTGGCCAATAGTAGAATCACTGTTAGAGAAGTTTCTGAGAATCTAAACATATTGATTGGCTCATGTCATTCGATTTTAACCAATGATTTGGGCATGAGTCAGGTCGCCGCGAAATTCGTGCCAAAACTGCTCAATTTCGACCAAAAACAGCATCGCGTTAACATTGCTCAGGAGATGTTGAACTCGGTCCGCGACGAGCCAAATGTGCTCCAGAGGATCACAACTAGTGATGAATCATGGATTTATAGTCTTGATGTGGAAACCAAAGCTCAATCATCTCAATGGAAGCTGCCGCATGCGTCAAGACCAAAAAAAGCGCGCCAAATTTGGTTGAACGTGAAGGATTTTCTCAGTTTTCTTCGATTACAGGGGCGTGGTGTATCATCAGTTCTTGCCACAGGGTAGTATGGTCAATAAGGAATATTACCTGTAAGTTATGCGGAATTTGTGAAAAGCAATCCGCCAGAAACGTCCGAATTTGTGGAAGAACAAAAACTGACTTTTGCACCATGATAACACCCCTGCTCATACATCGTTGCTTGTGCGCGAATATTTGGCCAAAAACAATACAATAATGGCGCCGCAGTCACCGTATTCCCCATATCTAGCCCCTTATGACTTTTTCCTGTTCCCAAAACTAAAGAGGCCTATGAAAAGTAGATAAGCAATGTATGTTCTGGGACACAAAGGAGCCGACAAAGGATGCCGCCAATGTATAAGGATACGTGTATGTTCTGGGACACAAAGGAGCCGCCCGATGAAGGTGTGAAGGTAGTGACACCTTTTAATTAATGGTCAGACCCCATGGTGAGTGTCTAAAAGGGATTTGATGTACCTTTGACACCTTCCGCGTGCAAGTGGGCCCCATGCTGAGTGTTAAGGGGCATTTGATGTTGGTTTGACCCCTCGCGCGCGCCGCCAATGTATAAGGATACGTGTATGTTCTGGGACACAAAGGAGCCGCCCGATGAAGGTGTGAAGGTAGTGACACCTTTTAATCGCGATAAGGTGAGACCCCATGCTGAGTGTTGCATTTGATGTTCCTTCGACACCTCCCGCGTGCCAGTGGGCCCTTCGAGGGGGCCAGTCTCCCCCCCCTCGATAGTAGGGCGCTTCACCCACCCACCCACCCCCCTACCCATAGAGGTTGTTAAGGTAGGATGCTGTAGAAGTCGGTAGGGTGTTTGGGAAAATATATGCTTATGCTGGCTGAGTGTAGACCCTCGGAGAGGGGGTAGCGTCTCTAGCTTGCTAGGCGCGTACGCCGTATAGTGAGGATGCTGTTCTCTCTCTCTCTCTCTCTCTCTCTATCTCTCTCTCTCTCTCTATCTCTCTCTCTCTCTCTATCTCTCTCTCTTGCTCTCCTTCGATAGTAGGGCGCTTCACCCACCCGCCCACCCACCCACAGAGGTTGTTAAGGTAGGATGCTGTAGAAGTCGGTAGGGTGTTTGGTAAACTATATGCTTATGCTGGCTGAGTGTGGACCCTCGGAGAGGGGGTAGCGTCTCTAGCTTGCTAGGCGCAGCCACCACCCACCCACCCACCCACCTCCTACCTTTCGTCTGACTACTCCCTCTTCAACCTACAGCGCCGAAACCGCTGCTTTCAGCGCCACCATAGTGCTTAAAAGCCGTGCTCGATGGGAAAAGAGCGCAGTCTTTCGAGACAGCCCGCTTCACTAGCTTTCTTAGCAGTGACAAGCAGCAGTAGTAGTAGTAGTAGTAGTAGTAGTAGTACTAGTAGTAGTAGTAGTATTACTAGTTATCCTACGGGCATTTTCATTACAATGGCTTCTATTTCTTATTTTGAAAATACAGTACGCGATTTATGGAAAGCCTATTACAACTCAGACGCTAATAAGGATGATTTTATTAGATGGAAAAATATAATAATTACCGCTTTGCATTCTCTTGAAGAATATATGTTACGGCCTAACTTAAGTAGAGCAATACGACAGAGATGTCAAACATGCGCTACTCATTTGAATTCAATCGAAATTAATTTAAATAATTCCATAAAAGTCGGAGGAAATGTTAATTCATTACGAGTCATTCCAAACCAAATTGAAGGGGACGGAGTTATTTGGCGTGAAATAAATTCAGCATTTGAAAAACGTATCATTACTGCAATCATAGCCAATCAAGAACATAGAGATATAAAGTCATTCTTAAAAGCAGCAAATAAATTATTACAACTACAAATACCAAAATATCTTTCAATTCATAATGCTCTAAAAATAAATATAGAAATGTCAGCTTAATTTACCGTAATAAAAGATAATGTAGAGGACATTCAAGTAAAGTATTTCAACACCGAAAATGTTTCTATTTATAAAACGACAGATCTTAAATTATGGTTTACAGAAAATATTGAAGATGTTATACTTAAAAATTTAGAAGAATTTCAAGAAAAAGATTCCGGTTGGACATTAAAAACTATCATCGGTATTACTGTTAATATAAATAAATTTAATCCTTTAAAACCTGGCTCATATATTCAACTACCAAAACAAATAGCAGATAAAAAAGCAATTATCAACGTTCAAAATACAGATAATGAATGTTTTAAATGGGCTGTGCTTGCCTGTCTTCATCCAGCTAGATTTCATAGCGAAAGAGTTCAAAATTATATGCCCTTTGCGAATGAATTGAAATTCGATGATATAAACTTTCCTGTTGAGGTAAAGAATATTCCTAAATTTGAAAAATTAAATAGTATTTCAATAAATCTATACATACTAAAAAAATACGGTTTTAAATTCGAAGTCTCACCATATTATATATCAACTTTAAAACAAGATAAGCATGTAAATCTTTTGTTACTACAAAGCGATTTTATTGATGAGAATGAAACAGAAAAATCTAATAGATCAAATAACAGTGATAATTTCAAATTAAAATTCCACTATGTATGGATTAAAAACTTATCTGCTCTTGTTAGAAGTCAAGTAACGAAACATACTGCACAAATTTATCTCTGTGAACGCTGTCTCCACTATTTTAATAATAAAGAAAAATTAAATATTCATGAGACAGATTGTTCAAAATTAAATAAATATAGAGTTAATCTACCCAATTTTCCTCTTCTGAAATTTAATCATTATGATCGAAAAGAAATGGTTCCGTTTATTATCTATGCTGATTTAGAGTGCTTATTGAAACCAGTAAATAACGGACGATCCTTCCAAGATCATGAAGCCTTTAGTGTGGGGCTTTATATAAAATGTAGTTATGATGATTCCAAATCAGTCTTTAAGATGTATAGAAAAAAACTGAATGAAGAACAATCACCCGCACAATGGATTATCAAACAATTTCAGATTTTGTTAGATGAAATGAATCAAATATATAAGAATGCAATAGAAATGAATCTTTCATGGCGTAATCAAATGGATTTCAAGATGAGCAAAATGTGTCATATTTGTAGAAAATATTTTCAACCTGATGAAACAAGAGTTAGAGATCATTGTCATTTGACGGGTCGATTTAGAGGTGCTGCTCACGCATCCTGTAATTTAAATTATAAGAATCCTTATTTTATACCAGTTGTCTTCCATAACCTTACTGGATATGATTCTCATTTTATAATAAAAGAAATAGCTACTAGCTCTGATCTTGAGGGAAATGTGACTGTTTTAGCTGAAAACAAGGAAAGATATATAGCTTTCACAAAACACGTGGACGGTAGTACTATAAAGAGTGACCCAAAAAAAACCCAATTTTTCGCCCGTTTCGTCGACCTCATGAATTCAATTCGAAAATGGACTAAATGATAGCTTATGGGGATACTTTAAAGTAGACGAAATGTCAAGTTGAGCATAGTTTCTATTTTTGAGATATGACGAGTTAAACTTGTATTGTAGAAAATAATTAGCATTTTTGCTAAAAATCTTTGATTAATCGGTATTTTTATACTAAAAACATACCAAATGGATGGATTTATATACCAAGCATTTCTAGGAGTTGCTGGGTTTAGCGAACAATCAGATCTCCGCTGAATTTAGGTGCTGTCGAGCCGACGGTGGAAAACTTCTCTTAAGAAATAGTTGCGTATATTACTTTACATAGTTTGAGTGATGAAAATGTAAACTCATCGCTTGCAAAAAGTGTAGTTGTTTTCACCTTTCGACAAATGAATATCATAGTTTTCTAGAAGGATTTCATCACGATATGATGTTTTCTTAAATAATATCTAATCTTATCCAAACTATTGTAAGGATACATAATTGTATGCATGCAATAGAATTGTAATAACCCACCCGCAGGCTCTCTTGCGAAACAACTTGATTTTTGGTTTCCTAAATAATCACTTCGTGTTTATTTATTTCTTCCCTATCCCCTCAACCAGTGCTTCTCAGCGCTCTCCTTCGCCCAGGCCAAGAACATCTGATCAGCTTCGCCAGGAGCCCCGAACCCTGTAGGTCAAGGGCGACCTGACGCGCCTCCTGCTCGCCCAGACGCTCAACAGGCTCGCCTACATCAAAATCAATTTAAAAAAAATCTTTAATACAGTCGAAGTTTTTCAGCTCGGTTTTGTTTCTGACCTTCGACTCCAATTGAGGGGCACCAAACGTAAACAGTCAGGGCAATGTAAACGCTATGAAAGGCACATCCTCCCCTTTTGGCCTCGCGGCTCCTCTGAACCGAAAACTGCGACGTGTCAATTCTCGGAAGGCGCAAATCTATATATATATACTTTGAGACAATTATTTTTTTTTCATCTACTATGCCATTCAAAATATGCTTAGGTTGTAACGAGCAAAAACGCTCAAAAAATGACAAGTTTTATGGAATGAGTCATTTAGAGAATCCATTATTGACGATTAATTGTTTACGCCAAACGCAAAATGCTAAGAAACGAAAACTAGAAGTTCTACGTGATATGCCGCAAAATGGTCAGCTATGTAAAAGTTGTTATGAAATATCCAAAAAACCGAAAATATCACAATTAACTGAATCACACACGCCTGATTTGTCAATTTATCGTAGAGGCAATAGCTCTCACGGGAGATGTACATTTGGCTGTAAGAATATTCAGAACTTGATTTCTGTACCGAAAGCGATTTCCCATGAGCTCCTTATGAACTACAAATTCTTGATTCTCCCAGACTCACGCATGTGTAGTTCACATATTGGTATTCCTAATTATTGGCCACTTGTTAAGCAAATATCTGCAATTGTCAGTGAAAAGGAACAAGAAAGTGTTTCTAATATAATGTACAAATACTATCAAGAAATGAAAAGCTCTCAAAAAGCTGTATTTGACATCAACGCAATAGATCGTATTGGTGATGAAATATTTAAAGATTGGTTTGCTTATAGTATAATAGAATTTCAACGAATTTGTTCTTATGCTAAAACTTGTCAACCTAAACACATAGCGGTTCTCTTGTGCAAGTTACGTACAAGTCTTTCTAATAATCAACTAGCATTTCTCTTCGGAGTTAGCGATCAAACTATTGCCAATTATATGAATTTAGCCAGAGAAGATCTTCTAAAGAACTTAGTTCCCCAATTCATAAATAATAATTATCGCTCAGTGTTATTATCACATAACACTGAAATGGCAAAAATATTATTTGATATAACAGATGACAAGGCATGTCTTGTTTTTGATGCTACGTATCGGCTAGTTCAGAAATCATCTAACTTCGCAGGACAGAAACAACTTTGGAGTGAACAAAAGAAGATGCCTTTAGTGAAACCCATGGTGGCTTGTGCGCCTGATGGATATATTCTATTTGTACTGGGTCCGTTTGACGCACGACATAATGATGCAACTATTTTAGAAGATTGTTTCTGTAGGTTCGCAGACAAATTGCATACGATTGCAGAAGGTGATCATATTTTGGTTGACAGAGGTTTTAGGGACGTTTTGCATTTTTTAACAGAAAGTAAGAAATTAAATGTTCATTGCCCTGGACTTGGCCAACTTGAGACGATGGAAGCAAATATGTCTAGATTTGTCACAAGATGTCGCTGGATTATTGAACAAGTTTTCGGCCGCCTCAAAAAAAAGTTCAAATATTTTGCTTTGCCAGCCCATAATGCAACATTAAATCATGATTTCGGCTATCTACTAATTGCTTTTGCACTTTTGAATTTATTTCATAAACCTGTCTTAAGTGACAAGCTTCATCAGGATATTGCTCAAATAATGAAATCACGAGTAAACGTCCCAAACCGTCTGAAACTTATTGCTCAGGATTTTAATCTTTCTCAACTTAAAGCTCCCTATCTTGACATGGAGTACACCGCATTGGATAATGAAGAGAATAATCAAAGATTGCAATTCCCTAGACTAACCTTAGATCACTTGTACCACTTAGGTTTAGGTCCTTATCAAACAAGAAATGCAGCTTCTTACTATGCAGAGCATACAAATGAAGGCATATTCTTAGTACAAAAGTTTTCTCCACCACCGAGACACCGAACAGCTACCATAGACTATGCTAGATATGAGATTGATGTCAAAAATCCTTTACTTATCAAAGCTTACATGAAATCCCGATATCGTAGTGGAAAATATCATCACATTTTTATCCTAGTCGATAAAGCAAAGACTGGAAGAGATTCAATCCTGGAGTACTACTGTACCTGTGAAAGTGGTTCACGGACAGTTGGTTGTTGCAGCCATGTTATGACAATCGTTTGGTATCTGGGTTACGCACAGTATGAAGGAGTTCATATACCGAATCCAGATATTTGTGACATATCTATTTCTATACGTAAAGAAGTAGATTCGCATACTTAAATACACTTGCTATTAAGATTCGCTTCAGAAATTAATTTATTTGTGAATTTTAAAAAAATACAAAAAGGCTAAAAAAAGAAAAAAGAAAAAAAATTACAAAAAACAACAAAACAAGTAAAAATTACAAAAAAAAAATACAAAAAAAACAAACCTCTTCGTGGATTAGTACCGTGTCGTGGTGAAGAGGCTTATATATTATTGAAATAATGTGCATTTCAGTAATATAACCAAACCTAATCTTTCTTAGAAATATACATTTACTTATTAATTCAAAGGCCTCCCGTTCGAATACTTTGGATTATCTATCAAGATTTGCTAACTCTATAGTATAAAGATACCGATTGATCGAATATTTTCGGCAAAAATCCTGTTTTTTTTTCTGTAAAATCGGCTATACCTCACTTGAACAATATCTAATGACAGATTCGAAAAGAATAGAAGATTTTATATAGGAATATATTTTGCGTGTTTGAGAACCTTGAACATAATGAACAAGATTGTCAAGAATGTTTGATTCATCTCGGCGTGAACAGGTTAACTAACAGGTTCGACTCGTCATATCTCCAAAACAAAACCTACGCTCAACTTGAAATTTGTTCCACTCTAAAGTATCGCCATAAGCTATTATTTAGACCACTTTTTAATCGAATGCCCGAGGTCGACGAAACGGGCGAAATTTTGGGTCACTCTTTTCGATTTATTGATTCGTTTCGTTTTATGCCATCATCTCTCGAAAAACTGTCTTCATACTTAACCAAACTAAATATCGTAGAGCATGAATTCAAGATAGATAAATATACAAAAACACAAATAGAATTATTGAAGAGAAAAGGCGTTTTTCCATATGAGTATGTTAACAGTTTTGAAAGATTAAAACAGACTCAATTACCACCTATCGAAGATTTTCATAGTCAATTGATAGATAGCAACATCTCTGAAGCTGACTATGAGCATGCTCAAAAAGTGGGGAATGCATTTGACATCATTGATTTAGGACAGTATTCTGATTTATATTTAAAAACTGACGTATTACTCTTGGCCGATATTTTTGAAAATTTTCGTAAAACGTGTATGGACGCGTATCAACTCGATCCGGCACACTATTATACTACTCCTGGATTAACATGGGATGCTATGTTAAAGTGTACAAAAATTGAGCTAGAACTTTTAACCGATATAGACATGGTTTTATTCATCCAAAAAGGCATTCGAGGAGGTATTAGTCAATGCTGTAATAGATACTCAAAAGCTAATAATCGATATATGGGCTCAGAATATAATGAAAAAGAACCTAGCAAGACTTTGATGTACTTTGACCTTAACAATTTATATGGATGGGCGATGACGCAATCATTACCATATAAAAATTTTAAGTGGGTCTCTAACATCGATGAGCCTCATTTTTTCAATGTTTCCGATAACAATGAGGTTGGGTATATTTTAGAAGTTGATCTAGAGTATCCAAAAGAACTACACGACGAACATAAGGACCTTCCACTTTGTCCTGAACACAACACACCACCTGGATCAAGACAAAAAAAACTTTTAACAACACTGTATGATAAAGAACGGTATATCATTCATTATAGAGCGCTAAAGCAGGCTATTAAATACGGACTCAAAATAAAACTAATACACAGAGCACTTCAGTTTAATCAAAAGCCTTGGCTTAAAACTTATGTAGATTTGAATACAGAAAAAAGAAAACAAGCTAAAAATGAATTTGAAAAGTTATTCTATAAACTCATGATTAATGCAGTATACGGAAAGACTATGGAGGATGAAAGGAAACGAAAAGACGTTAAATTAATTAGTACATGGAGTGGTAGATATGGAGCAGAAGCACGGATCGCACAACCCAACTTTCATAGTAGTTCAATCTTTGATGAAAATTTAGTAGCAATACAGTTATCATGGACGTCTATTAGTATTAAAAAACCAATATATATTGGACTTTGTGTGCTAGATCTCTCAAAAACATTAGTATATCACTTCCACTATGGCTACATAAAAGAAAGACTACCTCATAAAGCAAAATTACTTTATACTGATACAGATAGCCTCGTATATGAATTTAAAGATGTTGATATATATGAAATAATGAAAGAAGATATCAATAAATTTGATACATCAGATTACTCAGAAAATAATCAGTTTAATATGCCGTTAGTTAATAAAAAGGTTCTCGGTATTATGAAAGATGAATGCAATGGTAATATTATGAGAGAATTCATTGGACTTCGAAGTAAAATGTATAGTATACTAATAGAAAACCATCAAGCAATAAAGAAGGCAAAAGGCGTAAAAACACATACTGTCATAAAAACAATAGATCATGAAGATTTTCGAAACTGTTTATTGGATTTAGAAATTATTAGGCGTGAGCAATGTAATATACGAAGTGTATTACATCAAGTAAGAACAGAAAGAGTGCAGAAAGTAGCACTAAGTCCATATGATGATAAACGATGTATATTCGATAAAAATCCTGATACACTTCCATGGGGTCATTACAAAACTATTGAAACGTCAAAGCTTAAAATCAAGAGTGCGGAACAACGCAGGAAAAGAAAGATCATAGAAATGGAAGAAAATCCTCAAGAAAGTTGTAAGCTTCCTCTAACCTCCGACAGAAGTCGCTCAGAACAGAGTAGTATGAAAGAAAATCCTCAAGAAAGTTGTAAGCTTCTTCCAACCTCCTACAGAAGTCGCTCAAAACAGAGTAGTAATAGTGGGGAGGAAGAAGGCTCAGTTAGGAAAAGACTAAGGATAGAATAGTGAGAGAGTGGGGACAACGGTAGAGTGGGGGACAACGGCAAACATGGCGACTGAAGTCTGAGGAGTATGGGCAATGGAATCATATGAGAAATTACTCAAGTGGGGATAAGGCAAAAAGAGAGGGAAATTACGGCGGCTCGAGTTCTCCGAGAGGGGACGCATGGTACAAAACGGAGAACACACCTCAGTCCGTCGCAGTTCTTCAGCAGTAGGTTGAAGCAACAGCAGTAGTCTCTCTTCCTAGTTCTCCTATTAAACTTCTAAATTTTCTCTTAAAAGTAAGTTTCTTGTATACTAGTAGCTCTCTAACTATATATCCTAGTAGTATTAATTATTGATTGATTTTTTGTTATTGTAGAATGGACTTTTCATCAATTAATAAAATTGCCAAATCGGCATTTTTACCAAGAAAAACGATGGCACAATTAGAAAATAACTGTACCTACATGATAACGAGATTAAGATGGCTTAATACTCGTTATGGATTTAGTGTAGTTATAACAGTAGACGACGAATTCGAAATATTTCTACCTAAGCAAGTAAGCTTAGCATTAGAAAAAGATGAAGATATGCTGAAAAAATTATTCGAGACCATGGAAAGAAAGGAGTTGTTTATTTACCATCGAGAAGGCTCGAATTTTGAATTTAAAAATTAATCTAGCATAATATTATAACGGGGATTTAGCCCGGTTAGCCCCGTAAATATAAAAAAAGGAAGTAACTAAAGTTAAATGAGGAATGTCCGAGCGAAGTCTGAAGCCTCCTGGACTGTCCGTCTTCTCAGGTCCGGTGTTCGTCACGCCGGTGGCAGGACAGACGAATCCGCGCAGATTCGTAGTGTTGGCTGAAGAACGCAAAAGCCGAAGATTCGAAAGCGGGTGTAGGCGTCGGGGTACGATTAAATAAAAGAGACTAACGGTAAACAGTATTTTTAATCAGTATAAGTTAACAAAAGCGGTCGGAAGGAGGGAGAGAGTACGCTGAGAAAACGGATAGAGAGAGAGTAAACCAACTAGCAGGTACTTACAATGACGGTGCTCGTCCTCTAGATACGCAAACGAGTCGCACAGTTTGCGTCAACGCACACGCACAAATTATCGGGCACCACGTGCACTCCGCGGCTCGTTTCCTGCTGACGAACTCCCGCTCTAACAGCTACAGCACGCAAGCGTAGATCCTCTACAGGGCCGGGCGATGTCGCAACTCTTCTCCGGATAAAGGCCACAACTCCGAGATCGAAGAAGAGGGAAACACCAGGTCACCACGAAGATGCGAGCAGGGGAAGTCGTTGAGACGAAGGAATCTACCTGCCCGCTGACAAATCTGCACGATAGCAACTCCCTAGCGTGTTGCCTGCTCGGCTCTCGATTTCTTTCTGCTCTGCGTCTCGTCGATTAGTGTTCGCGGTCACTCGCTAAAGCGCGACTATGTCTCTCTCTCTCTCTCTCCGCGCCTCGCGGTCGCGCGCGGAAGTATCCCTGCGTACTCGCATCTCTCTCTCTCTCTTACCTTATATTCGAGCCGAAAAGTAATTACATATACAAATATTAATAATAAATGAATATAAACATAATAAATTCATAAATATATATAGGATAAGTTCGGAGAAATATGTTATATTTACATATCATTACTAGGGAGAGAGAGATATAACGGGTTGGCAATCTCACTCGTTATAATATGTAAATGTATAAATAGTAAATAAATTTATATTTAAAATTTTAATTATCTCTTTAATCCTAATTTAATTATTCCTTCAAATCCTTTTTTTTTGGAGAGGTTGAAGGTATATTTATTAATATTAATATAAGGTTATTTATCCAAGAATTACGAGTATTATCAAAGCCAAGCCATTTTACATAGACTTCATTACCCCGTCTTCTGAGAATTTTTTCTACAAGATAAATATCAGGATACATAACTTTCTGTAGTTTTTGCTCATAAAAACCTCCAACAATGGGATTTTCTTGATAATCTAGTAGGTGATATGTTACAGGTTTAGTTCTCGAAATACGATGAATAGTAAAAATTTCTGTAGACCAATTAGGCGTATATCCTTTTTCAAAAACGTGTTTAGACTTGCTTACTCGCACTTTATCTCCTACCTGGAATTTCGGTTTTTTGAAAAGACGATGATCGTAAGAGAATCGTGTCAAGACCTGCATTTCATTTTCTTTAGTCACGTCTTTAGGCTTCATATTTATTGTACGATGTTTTTGATT